TCAAGGCCTATGACTTTTTTAGTGACAGGTTTTTAAGCAAGCCCTGTCCATTGTTCTTGTGCATTTATGTTAACACACCTTTGAAATGCCAGAAGTAATAGCCCTCAAAGGTGTAACCACCCTCAAGAGAGCACATTCATACCATAGCTAAGATTTGGAAACAGCCTAAGTGCCCATCAGCAGATGAATGGATTAGAAAACTGTGGTACATCTACACAATGGAATACTATGCTGCTGTAAAAAAAAAAGGAATTCTTACCATTTGCAACAGCATGGATGGAACTGGAGAGCATTATGCTAAGTGAAATAAGTCAGTCAGAGAAAGATAAGTATCACATGATCTCACTCATTTATGGATAATAAGGACCATTATAAACCGATGAACAAAAATAGATACAGAGGCAGAGCAGCATCGAACAGACTGTCAAATTACAGCGGGAAGGCCAGGGAGTGTTGTGGGGGCGGGGTAAGAGATCAACTGAAGGACTTGTATGCATGCATATAAGCATAACCAATGGACACAAGACACTGGGGGTAGGGGAGGCCGGGGGAAGGTCAAGGGAAAAAAAAAAAAAGGAGACAAATGTAATACTCTTTGTAATACTTTTAGCAATAAAACAAAATTTAAAAAAAGAGAGAGAGAGCACATTCGCTTGACTATCCTGTACTCCAATCCCTGCCTTGTTTTCTTCCACTTTCATGGAATCTTCTTTACATTCCCTCCTTAATTTCAAATGCACAAAAGAAATTGCATAACTGTTATTCTCTGGAGCATCTGAGATCTTCCTGGCAACTGTTGTAAGTTTGTCTCAAATAAATTCTTATACAAATTATTTACATGTTTGGACGTTCTTATGTCAATGGCTGCTTCACAATTCAGAGGAGTAGAAAGACATTTGGGGAGTCAACTAGTAATACCCACTATAAAAGCATTATAATATTCCACTCCATTAAATACCATAATTTTCACTCTCTCATTTTTGTTCAGTATTTAACTTGTTCCAAGTTTTGTTCCATTATGATATTTTAAATCAGCAGTTGTAGACCAAATGAGGGAAATAGGATAGTGTATGGTACAATGGGGAATGGAGAAACTGTGGGGAAAGAGCATGCATGTCCTGTAGTTGATTGTCACCAGGTGAAAATGTAAGCCCATTGTTACCAAATTTTCTACTTTATTTATTTATTTATTTATTTATTTATTTATTTATTTATTTATTTAAATCCTTACCCAAGGATATTTTTCCATTGAATTTTAGAGAGAGGAAGAGAGAGAGAGAGAGAGAGAGAGAGAGATTGATGTGAGAGAAACACTTCGATTGGTTGCCTCCTGCACCAGGGAAGAGCCTGCAACCAAGGCACCTGCCCTTGACCGGAATCTAACCCGGGACCCTTTGGTCCACAGGCAGACACTCTATCTACTGAGTCAAACCATCTAGGGCCAAATCTACATTTTAAAGAGAAGTCGGGAATGCATGTGAAATCTTCTGACTTTTAACTTTTGGCTTTGGCTAATTTTTTTGAAGCATCATTCAGATGCTTAGACAAACTATATTTGTGTGTTAGATCTGGGCCTAGGCCACCAGTTTCTACCATGTAGAATATTTTATAACACCTTCTGCAAAAGTAAGAACTTCAGTCCTTTCCTGGACTTGGGCTGCTAGGATAGTTTTAATGTAAAGGAAGCCATAGTGGGGAGAGAAGTGAGCAGCACACACCATATGAGGAATGTTTTATTATTAATTCTTTGGCATGTACTTAAGAATTGTTTCCCTTGTGGTAAGGATGAGTTTCTACCAAATCACCTCCACAGTCTCTTATCTAGGTTCTCCTGTGACTTGCCTGTTATCTAGGTTCTCGTGTGACATCTCTTATCTAGGTTCTATTGTGAGGAACAGTTCAGTGTTACAGAGTGACCCCTGGTGATTAGAGGTGTGACATGTGGCCATGGGACAGAGTTTTCCATTTCCTGGTAACAAGCTGGCACATGGGTTGATCCTGTACTAGTGACTTAGATGTTATGCTCTACTTTAATAGGATTGAACAGCCCATGGTGGCCATTATTATTGCTTTCAGAGGCCTATGGAACTGAATTTGGGGAACACTGTATTTATTTTGGACTTATCATTTAAAAATTTTATTTTCTCTTACTGAGTGCAGATAATTACCACAGTGCTGCCCTTTTTGTCAAAAAGCTTCTCTCTATTTAGAAGATACCAGGAGGCAGAACTACAGCTTTTTCATCTGTGACTTTGTCATGGTGCCTAGTGTAACTTTACTAGTACTTTATTCAGTAGAGGCTCAGTAGCTACTTCTTGGCTGATTTATTAGTAGGTACTATCTCAGGAAATCAATGGATGATTTGAGTTATTCTAACCCTAAATTGATTAAATATAAAAATTCCAGCATTTGAGTCGGGCCCAGAGTTAGGTATATTCTTGGAATACAGAGGTTACTAAAGGACCTCAGAGAAGGAGCCCACAGTTGCCACACCGGATTTGTTCTATAGACATTTAAATTAGGGAAAAAAAAAAGAACTTGAGAGAGAGGGTTTGTTGACAAATGTCATTATTTCTCAGAAGCTTTTGGATCTAGGTGGGCAAATGAGTGCAGGGGAATTGACGTGGGACAGAAGGGAGAATTTCAAATTAAAGGAGTCATTGTAGAGTCAAATCGTTAGACCATGTACTTAATGAAGTCTTGCTGCACTATATTCACAGTAGCATTTATGGCAGTGGTTCTCAACCTTCCTAATGCCGCGACCCTTTAAAACAGTTCCTCATGTTGTGGTGACCCCCAACCATAAAATTATTTTCGTTGCTACTTCATAACTGTAATGTTGCTACTGTTATGAATCGTAATGTAAATATCTGATATGCAGGATGTATTTTCATTGTTACAAATTGAACATAATTAAAGCATAGTGATTAATCACAAAAACAATATGTAATTATATGTTTTCCGATGGTCTTAGGCGACCCCTGTGAAAGGGTCGTTCGACCCCCAAAGGGGTCGCGACCCACAGGTTGAGAACCGCTGACTTATGGAGTACTTTCTTTTTTTTAATTTTTATTATTTTTTATATTTTTGTTGATTTCAGAGAGGAAGGGAGAGATAGAAACATCAATGATGAGAGAATAATTGATGGGCTGCCTCCTGCACAACCCCCCACTGGGGATCGGGCATATGCCCCCCACCGGAATCAAACCCAGAACCCTTCAGTCCCCAGGGCGATGCTCCATCCACTGGGCCAAACCGGCCAGGGCTGGAGTACTTTCTTTTTTTTTTTTTTTTTTTAATGTATTTTATTGATCTTTTACAGAGAGGGAAAGAGAGTTAGAAACATGGATGAGAGAGAAACATCGATCAGCTGCCTCCTGCACACTCCCTACTGGGGATGTGCCCTCAACCAAGGTACATGCCCTTGACTGGAATCGAACCTGGGACCCTTGAGTCTGCAGGCTGACGCTCTATCCACTGAACCAAATTGGCCAGGGCTGGAGTACTTTCTATGAGTTGTGCACTATGCTAGGCTTTGTGGAAGACGCAAAAATGGATGAAGCAGGTTCTCCAGGATTTCCTAGGGGGATAAAATTTTGCACAGATTTACCCAGATAAGGTTGAATATTAGGTGCCACAAACATAGAAACAAAGTGCAAAGGAAATCGGGAACATTTACAGGTCATTTCTGGCTGCAGGATCCAGGAAGGAGGAAGTCCACACAGTTCAAGGATCAACGCTTTTTTTTTGTACAATATTTGTAGAGGAAAGAGTTGGTTATTTTATCTCTACCTCGTTTGTACACTCCAATTTATTACCCCAACGGATAAAGAGGTGCACATGAGGGCACGTTTTCTTCTTATAAACACCAAGCAGTGCTTGCTCTCCTGCTCAACCCCGCGGGTTATTTCTCTCTCCAGTCTCCCCGAGTCCCACATGACCGACTAACAAGGGAGCGTTTCATGAGCTCGTGACACCGTGAAAGAGACACAGACAAGAGTTCGTATTCTTTCAGGAGGGCTGGACATTAACCAAAGTATGGAAACCAGGTTTACGAGCAAGAAAACCATCGTCCCCAACTCAGAATTCTCCAACAACTCGGTACCGCTGCTGTGGCGTCCCCGGGGGCGGTTCCGGAGGGCGGCGAGCCGCTCTCGCCCCTTCCCGGGTCCCCACTCCCACAGCCCAGGTCCTGCGGGTCCTCCAGCCCCCCGCCCAGCAGCCCCGCGCCCAGGACAGTGACGAACTCGGTGAGGCAGCCTTCAAAAGCCGCAGCAAAGAGACAAACACGCCACATACAACCTATTGCTGTCGGAAGCAATGTCCCCTGCCCACTGAAGGGTCCGAAGCAGCACCGCCACAGGGCAGACAAGGAACGGAGTCTGCCTCTCTGTGGACATAGTCAAG